GTGTGCTTGATTGAATCATTATATCACCTGCAAAGCTCCTATAGAGAAGAACAGTGAGTTTTAAATCTGATTTGAGAGAGGAAATATAATAGCTTGAAGCTCTAAAATGAAAAGTGAAAATTAGTATAGTGTTGTTTTCAAGTGTTATGTGTGCCCCTACTTGGGAATTAATTCATAGAAGCATAATGTTGGAATGGATCTTAGAGTTCTTCAAGTCCAATCCTTTCCAGGACATGAATCCTGATATCAAATGTCCAATCTTTGCTTGAAAATCTCCAATGATAAAGCACTCATGACTTTAGGAGACATGCTGTGTTTAAGTCACTGCTTAATAGCTCTAATGTTGAGGTAATTCCTCTCTTTATTTCCATTTTGGATTTTCCTAAAGTCTATATTTTTAGTTTTTGTCCTGCACTTAGGAGTTATGGAAAATAAATCCATACCCTCTTCCCTGAAAATATTCCTTAAAGTATTGGAAGAGTATTCTCAAATCCCCTTTTACTTGACATAACCGATGCCCAACAAGCCGCCCTAAATCGGGATCAATGGCGTGCTGTAATCCGTGACGTCCTGCCCCTGGCCTTCACAATGCAACGGTCACTGCCTTATGGACGTTGACATTTACGAAGATTAAGTCCAAGTCCAAGCTAGACACAGTTTCTTTAACTATTTTTCATGGGATTCAGCCTTCAAGCCTTTCATCATCTTTGCTGATTTTCTTTGCACTCTTTCTTTTTGATCTTCATTTCTCTTCTGACTCCCCTCCCCCCCTAGTAGTTTGGCGTCTGACAGGTTAAAATACTTCAGCCATTTCCCTGTTTCTCATCATTATCTTGACATCTGCTGTGACCAGCAGATTCTGCTTCCTTGACTTTCCCTTGTTCTGAACATATTCAAAGAACAGTTTTCATTATTTTTGGCATTCAGTGTCAGCCTGAGCATATTCTGAGTCTTCCTAGCATTATTCTTATTAATATGGGCTGTTCCTTGATGCTCTGTTTTTGTTATACACCCCTTTCCATTCTTTAAACTTAAGCTATATTTCTCAGCTTATTAGCTCTTTATCTAGCCACATGTGTCTCCTATTTTTTCTTTCTCTTTGGTAGTTGAGATTTGGTAGGTCGAGCTTGAGCCTTAGGATTTCCTAACACTCTCTTCCTAGCTCCTAATATTCCATAGAACATTCAGTATTGCAAGATACTGAGAAAATGCATAACCCTCTATTTAAATAGGCTTTTATAGAAAGCCTTTTATTTTCCATTTTATTTCCTTCAGTCAAAAATGGCATGTTTCTTTTAGAAATGTATGTCACTCATTTGCTGTTCAGTTACTAGTAGTCCTTGTTTAGCAACCACAGATGGTGTTAGCAACTTTGTCACTATGTGTTGCGTTGTTAAACATCATGGAATCATGACTTGTGAATTTACTACTGGCTTCTTGATTGACTCTGTGGTTAGAAGCCAGTTGTGAAGCTGGCAAATGATGTTGTTGCAATGGTCATAAATGCTGCTGCCCAAATCCTGATTACATGAATGCAGGGAGACTGCAACAGTCGTAAATGTGAGGAGCAGTCATAAGGTTACTTTTTCAGAGCTATCCTAATTTCAAAAAATAGATCAAATCTCTCTTCTGAACTATACATTCAAAATTCTGTTTATGTTTATTTCTGATATTTTGACTTTTGCTAGATCACTCGTGTGGATGGGAAGAAGTTGCTGCCATACAGGGAGCAGCTTTTGAAGATTCTGCAACGAACCCTCCATTTAACCTGTAAGCAGGGTTACATTCTGTCTTGTAACCTACTGCACCATCTTCTTCGTTCTACTACACTTATCTACCCCACAGAATACTGCAGTGTGCCAGGTGGTTTTGACAAGCCTGTTTCTGAATACTTTCCTATCAAGGCAAGGATTTTAACTTACTTAGGACTAGAGAATTTGACTGCATTTAAACAAATAAAAGTAATGAACAATTACTCTGTTGCATTTCCTCAAAGGCTATTTCAGTTCAATAGCATGGAAAGTATAAGTCAGAGATGCTATAAGACTAAAATGTGTAATGTCGATTTTATCATCAGTGTATTTTTCTAAATTGGATGCTAGCACATACCATCTTGAAGGGATGGGTCATGAAAACCAAAATTAAATACTTTGTAGTTAGGAGATAAACAACTGCAGATTAGCTTTAAATGACAGGAAATCATTAGATCTATGTAACATTCCCTATTCTACTAAATAATAAAATTGAGGTATTTCTTATTTCATAAACTAGGTAGTATTTTTCCATTTTATTTTTAAAAGGTATTTTAACTTTACAGAATAAAGTAGTCTGTACAGTAAATCTGTTAATTCTGTAACATGTCGAATAGCCTTAGTCAGGTACACAAATACAATTAACGAATACGATACTAAAGATATGTGCAATACATACCATCAGAAAATACAATTTAAAAATCAAAATGATTCATACATCATAAAAATGGATTTTGCTAAATGTTACTGTTATGCAAGAATTAATATGCTAAATTTTACAGAACGTATCATGAGAGTAAAGTAAAGAAATCCTCAGAATACTGACTACTGAGGAAATGGATATGGTTGCTATTTATAAGCTACCTTTTGTGTGGCATTCTTAAGAAGTATGTTACTCTGTTTACGGTTCCAAGCACACCTGAAAGTGCTGGACTTGACCTCAAAAGCAATGAGTGGAATGCAGCCAGTGTGATTAACAGATGATTCTCCACCCAATTCCATCTGAGTCCATGTGCCTTCTTTTGCTTAATGAATTTGACGAGGGTTTTCGAAGGGGGTCTCTCTGTCACGAAACACTTTCTGTTCTTTGTATAATTATACCATTGGACCTTCTCTAGCTTTACTTAAAAAATGGTTTGATTTTATGAAATCATGTTTTGCTTTTTGTACTATAATATTTGCAACATAAGTTAAATTGGAAAAAATAATAATTTGTTTACCCCCCACTAAATTTAACTCTTTTTAAAAAATTAGTCTAACTGACCTTAAATGGTTACTATTAATTTAATGTTAATATTCTTTTAATTCATCTCTTACCAAGTCAAGTGTTTAAGATCCTTTTGTCTGAAATAAGAAAATTATCCATTGTTAAATCTGGTGACATAATTATTTTCTAATTTTGCTAAAGGCAAAATGCACACCCTTGTGTTGTTTTTACAGGACTGGGGTAAACCTGGTAATCTACAGAAACTTGATATTCAGTGGCATGTTCCTTCAGCTGAAGAAGTTGCTTTTGCTTTTGAATTGTTGGATACGTTTCTCCAGCCAGAGCTTGAGAAACTGGACCAGTATTCAGATCGAAATCTTGAAATGTCCAGGTTAGACAGATTCATTACTGACTAAGTTGTTTTTTCAAGTTTAAGTAAATGAATATAAACTAAATTCCTGAATAAACTGATGAGATTTATTCAAGTAGAGGAATCAGAGATACATTACATATCTGTTTATTTATTTAGAATATTTGTATATAAATAACACTTCGTCAGAAAAATTTGCTTTATTTCATGGTTTTATGTTTATTTTCTGATAAACTGTAGATGCTACTCAATAATAGGTAGCTAACAATAAATCCACAACAACGTAAACAGAAAAAGTTAAAACACATATATTTGGTGTGAGCTGCTAAGACTCAGTTTAATTGTGGTTGTATAGGAATATGTTTAATAATATAAATAATAGTTAATGTTATAAGATAGTGTATTTTTCCTTGATTAAGTTTATTTGTTCAGTGACTGTTCAAAAGTTACAGTGGAAACTTACCTCTAGTCCTTGGAAGTTGTGGCAATTGCAGCATCCCATGGTCACAAGATTGTAATTTAGGCACTTAGTAACTGGCTTGCACTTGCAAACATTGCAGCATCCCACAATCATGCGACTGGCATTTGCGACCTTCATTGCTGATTTTCCACAAGTAAAATAAATGGTGAAACCATCAGGAAAGTGCAAATGGTGATCACATTGCACCTAATGACTTCACAGAATTTGCCTAGCAACCACAACTACAACTGCCAAAACTGACATAGTTAGTCAGCTCAATAATTTGATGTTGCAGTTAATGATCATATTGTTTAGCAACAGAGTTCCTGGTCCCAGTTACTATTGTTAACTAAGGACTACCTGTACTCTTCAAAAGTTATTTTGAAGAGCTACATTTTACAGCCTTTCAAAAAGATAGTAAAGAGGTATGGTCCCAGTATTTAGACTGTTCCACAGGAAGTGGGAGAAGGGCTTCACTGAGAAGGTTCAACAGTAAGGTCCTTGCAAATGACATTTCCTCAGTAGCATGACCTTCAGAAAGACTTGTTTCATTATATACGTAGAGACAACCCAGAACAGGCAGTAACAGAGTTATCTGGGACTTTAACCAGGAAAGGCTTTAAACCATGCAGGATTTAAAAGTGACAACCAATGTGAAGCTACATCTGAAGCATAACTGGAAACCACTGCAGCTCCCATATGCTGTAGGCATATCTCAGAATACTCTATCCATGTTGCTACATGTTGAATCAGCTAAATCATTCAAATAGTCTTCAAAAGTTCTGAAGAAGTGGACAGGATTCTTTTGAAGTTATGCTGTGGATCCATGCCATTCCTGGTTGATGAAAACTTCCAGAAAGGTGCTAGGATTTGAGTCAGGGTCCTATTAGATATATTCTTGACACACAGGTTGATCCCTACTGACATGAAGTACATAGTGCTGTAGCCTCTTTTCAGAAAACTACTTCTTGACTCAGAAATTGTAGATAATTACTGAACACTCTTCAACCTTCTTCCATTTTGAGGGAAGTTTTGAGGGAAATGTGATGGAACATAGACACTGAAAAAATACATTACAGGTAATCCTCACATTNATCAAATTTAATTGTTGTGTCTCAAGATAGATTGCAAGTTGGCAAAGTTTAGTAGTAAAATATATTTTTATCTATTTTTCCCTAAGCTTACTTTGACGTACAGTAGTTTTTGTTCCTCTGTAAACAGAGGATTAAAATGTAACTAATGTCTTATGTTCTGCAATAGAAAATAACACAGTTCAAAGCTAATCCTTTTTCTTCTTAGCCTGTCCATTAATGCAGTAATATAATATGCTGCATAATATTTTGAAAGATGAATGTAAAGGATAGGATAGATTCAGCCTGAATCCAGGAAAATAGATGCTTAGTAGGTTTCTTTAAATTGTTGTCGCACAACTGATTGGTTCATAGGTCGCAAATTAGATTGGAGCAATGGTGGCCCAGTGGTTAGAATGCAGTACTGCAAGCTAACTTGCTACTCCAGGAGTTGGATTCTGAATGGCTCAAGCCTTCCATCCTTCTGAGATCAGTAAGATTGTTGGGTGGCAATATGCTGACTCTAAACTGCTTAGAGAGGACTGTAAAATACTATGAAGCAATATATAAGTCTAAGTGATATTGCTATTGTTTGATTATATCTTGGTTTCTAGATAGGCTTATGTACAACTCCAGTCAATATCAATTATTGCCAATGTACATACAATCTCCAATCCTTGGAAATCATCCAGGATATCATGATGAATGGTATCAAAAGCTGCTGAGGGATCAAGCAGAATCAGTTGAACCTGGATAACTTCACAAGCCTGTCACTCCTTTTGGATTTCCCCAGCCTGTATCCACCGTTCAATTCCAAATATATATAAATGATTTTATCCCTCACATGTTTTGCAAATTTATGTTAATAACTCATCATTTTTCTTCTACCCCATTATTCCCTACAAGGACACCTTAAATAAAATTGGCTATCCACAGATAAATGTAGAATAGTATTGGCGTTGTATTGTTTTTATCCAATGTTTGGTCATATTTACACTTCATTGCCAGTATTGTTTCAGGTGTTTCTTTTGCTGTTTCAATATATTAAAAAGTACCTTCTGATCACCAGATAAGAAGAAGCCACCAAGGTACCATCATGACCAAGAGTTGTTGAAGCCACCGCCTTACTCTAAAGATTGATTAGGGTCATGACAGATTTGATTATGATAAGGGAATGATGCTAATGTCAGATTGTATTACAATTGTTCCAAGAGAAAAACAAGAGCTACCATATGGCCTTGTAGTCTGCTAAGTCCCTTATGACCTGGACCTGGTGACTCCTGCAGTAAAGACGCAGGTTGAAGTCCCTCGTCAATCCAGTGGTGAGATTCAGCAGTTACTGCATGGATACCGCCATGTCCATGTGCAACAGAGAGGACAGTACAGCTTGACCATCAAGCTCATCCTCACAATGATTCTCAGCATAGAGTTTCCTGTGTCTTAGAATGGTACTTCCTGGTTCCTTGGGTATGACTCATAGAATTCATGCCAAAAAAGTTTATCTATCACTGGTTTAAAAATGTTTAAATGTTTTCTTTGTGATAGTCATGCATAAACCTGAAATGGGAACAATGTAATTCTCAGTATTGATGAATCCTTGCTTAATGTCATAATTTATATCCTTTAAATCAGGATTCATAATTTGTCCATGGCACAATATTTCTGATTTGGTCATTTCATACAATTTATTTCTTTTTGTTTTTGTATAGGTTGCCTTGGACAAGGTTTTCAATTTTGCTGTCTCAAATATTTTTGAGACAAGAGTGGCTGGTCGAATGGTGGCTGATATGTGCCGAGCTGCAGTGAAAGTAAGATTTTATTTTTCTTCTTCTCTCCCTTCTTCTCAGTTAAGAACTAACAATAACTTTTCTGTTTTGTTGACACTAGAATGTTTTGCTAGTTCATTAACTCTCTCTGTCTCCCACACAGACCTTAAATAGAATATTCTTTATCTAGTTCTTAGTATTTTTTCCTTTGCAAAATCAAGGCCATTCAGTAGGAAAGATATCTTTATGGAATGCTCATTATTTTGTTAAATATCTTAATGTAACATTTGGTTCTGTCTGATATTTCAGTGCTGTCCAGAGAAGTCTTTGAAGCTTTTTGTACCCCATTGCTGCAATGTTATAACACATCTCACTCTCAGTAAGTTTCAATGATCTAATAATGTTGTAACTTGTTTATATATATAGTGTATATTGCCTGTTGAAAATTTGAAGTATTTTATTTGTAGTTATGTGCAAACTGTTCTGCTCTGGAGAAGGAATATTTGGGGGGGGGGGTTCTAGAATTTATTGCTCCTCCAGACTATACCTTTCCAGCTATTCTACCAAAGCCCAGAATTTTTTGGAACAAAATATCTAGAACTGGAAGTAGCTTCTAGCATTCTGAGCATGTTCTTCCAACAGCTAGAGACAATATATACAATATTCTGATATATACTATACAGTAATTTTCTCAAGAGATGGAGACTAGTGGAAAACTTCCATTGCTCAATATGTATTTGAATGGGATCCTATTTCACCATGCTAACTACTATACCACAGTAAATTTGATGGGTTAGGATAAGAGAAGAGATTGGCACAGTATCATTCAGTTATTAGTTCAATGATTCGATCTTCCTAATCCAATTTTCACTGCTATATTACATTAATGTAAATACATCAGTAGAACAGAGAAGATAAACTAACTGAAGGCACAAAGTTCACCCATATCTCCAATATTCAAGGGAATGTTAGAGAATGTGTTTAAGTGCTGACTGCTGATTTTGAAAAACAATAGGTGGGCCCAAAGCTGGTAGGCTTCCTTTAGTAGAAATATGAAGCAGTGTATTTATATGCGGGAACTCTGGCTGTTGTACTGTTCTTGCCTTAAACAGTTTACTTTTTCTTCACAATTGGAATAATTTACTGCAAGAAATTAATAGGCAAAATAGCCCTTATTTTCTGATTTAAAAATCTCTTTTCTATCATGACACATGTTGAAAAAGTACAGGTGACATCCCAGGATCTTATCTGGGAGACTGAAATATATCTATATACATTGTTTGAAAGATAATGTGCAATATAAAATAATGAGCAATTCACATGTTTATTACTTGTAACAATTGCAAAATGTTCACACATGAATTTGAAGGGCTAATCTGCTTGTGGCACAAAGATATTTGCAAACATGTATAAGGAACTATGTTTCTCACTTAAGCCCCTTGTATGTTTTTTGCTTAAATAATAAGATTTCTCAGAAATTAAAAATGGAAACAATTGAAGGCAGACAAGGAAGCTTATGTATTGAAGAACATTTAACTCATTTTTTGGAAATATGCTAATTTGGGAAGGGAAACCTATCTTCTGAATGATGACTTGATTGAAATTTCTCATAGAATTATTGGGCAACCAATTATATAAGACAACATTCAGAATACTTTATAGAGGTAACACTTAATTTTTTTCCAGAAAATGAGTGTAAATAATGTACATATAAGTATAAGAAAG